TTGTTATTGATCATCAAACTGTTTAAGGTATTTGACGTGGTGTTATGATACACAATTAGTTTTTTTATAAGACTTCATAGAAAGTTCTAAGAAAGTAAATGCAGGTCTTGGCTTTAGCCTTCAGAAAACATACATTAACATCTACTCCTGTAAACCTGACTACAGAATAAGATGCTCTGCTGTTACAGTCTTAAGTCTCTCAACAAACTCCTGGTGACTTAACTGTGACCTAGATGATGTGGTAAGCGTTAAATACCTTGTTCTGAATAACTAAGTAAAAATAGACTATCTAAGCTCTCCTTCCCTCTTTCGCTTCTTGATAGACCGGATTTCAGTATAAACATCTATTATTGGTCTCCACTATTAGCATGCAGATACTAAATAATTTCAGTTACAAAACTTAATTTAATTGCTCCAATAAAGTAATTCTCCTGGATTTAGCCTTTCAGATATACACAATCACTTTGGTGTTAATTAAAAGCTAGATATATTAAATAGTTTGGAAGATATAGAAATAAGGCAGGTTGAAATGCCTTGGCTTTCAAAAAGTGTGCTGGTAAAGTGCAAAAATGATGTCACAGCCTCCAGACTGGGAAAGTGACAACACTGATCATGCCAGCACAGCATTAGCTTCAGTGTTTTAAGTGTTTTCTTCCAAATGCAACAAGTGATATACTCAAATATTTTTTAAAATTGTACAGATTCTAAAGGGAAATAAGTCATGTTTATATATACACAATCAATTTTACATTAATGAAATTAAAAACCCAAGAAAAAGCATGTAGAACATGCAGAAATCTACACTCTTCCCAAAAATTAAAAGGAAAAAAACATTAAATCTGAGATAAGGAATTTATTTCAGCTATTTAGAATTAAATCTCAGCTTTTTTTCTGAACGGGTTATAAGATTTTCCCCAGGCATCTCTCAAATTGGCATTTTGTTAAGAATGCTAGCGGAACACACCTGTAGCTAGGAGAGCATTCAGGCTTTCCCAGCTGCAAGCTTATGTGTGATATTGCTGCAAGCCAGCAAATTATACAGCTGGTATTTTGTCTCTGACGAACTGTACTGTTTTCATTGGCTTGGACGATGGGTTTTAAGGTATCTGAACACAAACAAGTTACTATGAGCTAAGCTATGGTGTGAATTTACAGAATGTCAGTTAACATACAGTAACTGATTGTGTACATGTCTGTAGCCTGTCTTTGCATTTATCCTGGACCACAAGTAAGCTGCTCTGGGCCTAGAGCACACTAATCCAGGGTAGTAAGTGCACAACTTTTATTCTTTTCTTATGATTTATTCATATGTCTTCACAGTATTTTTTGGACCCTGGGTAGCAGAGTTAACTCGGTGTTCCATTAAATTCATTCTGCATACTAGGAAACACACAAAACCAAGTAAACACCCTCCAAAGACAGAAGTCAGTAGGTAGCTGTTAGGGATCTATACAGTAATTTGCATGATACACTTCCAGTAAATTTGATCTTCAGCTAAATACACACGGAAACTTTCATCATAAAACCCAAAGCCAGCCATAATGGCCACATGCCCTTTTCAGATGAGATTATCAACTGTATCAGTTGAGGGGATGGGATCGGGGAGAAAAAAGTGTAAATTATTAATAAAGTTAAGTATACACAAAATGTGGTATGTGGCAATAGTATCAACAGAAACAAGCAAATGGATTGCTGAATTAAGATTCAAAATATTGAGCAGTTTCTGTAGTCTTCCAGATTTTAACTTAAAATTTAAACCATTTCCCTAATCTGTTAAATTTTTGTAAAAAAGCCTTATTTCTGCTTTAGGTTAGTCCTCTAGGTTAGGCTTGCCAATGTGACGCCCATCTACAAGAAGGGCCAGAAGGAAGATCCAGGGAACTACAGGCCTGTCAGCCTGACCTCGGTGCCGGGGAAGATTATGGAGCGGTTCATCTTGAGGGCACTCACAAGGCATGTGCGGGACAACCAGGACATCAGGCCCAGCCAGCACGGGTTCATGAGAGGCAGGTCCTGCTTGACCAACCTGATCTCCTTCTATGACCAGGTGACCCGCCTAGTGGACGAGGGAAAGGCTGTGGATGTGGTCTACCTGGACTTCAGCAAGGCCTTTGACACTGTCTCTCACAGCATTCTCCTAGAGAAGCTGGCGGCTCACGGCTTAGACAGGTGTACTCTGTGCTGGGTCAAAAACTGGCTGGACGGCCGGGCCCAGAGAGTTGTGGTGAATGGAGTTAAATCCAGTTGGCGGCCGGTCATGAGCGGTGTTCCCCAGGGCTCAGTTTTGGGGCCGGTCTTGTTCAATATCTTTATCGATGATCTGGACGAGGGGATTGAGTGCACCCTCAGTAAGTTTGCAGACGACACCAAGTTGGGCGGGAGCGTTGATCTGCTCGAGGGTAGGAAGGCTCTGCAGAGGGACCTGGACAGGCTGGATCGATGGGCCCAGGCCAACTGTATGAGGTTCAACAAGGCCAAGTGCCGGGTCCTGCACTTTGGCCACAACAACCCCATGCAGCGCTACAGGCTTGGGGAAGAGTGGCTGGAAAGCTGCCTGTCGGAAAAGGACCTGGGGGTGCTGGTCGACAGCCGGCTGAACATGAGCCGGCAGTGTGCCCAGGCGGCCAAGAAGGCCAATGGCATCCTGGCCTGTATCAGAAATAGTGTGGCCAGCAGGAGTAGGGATGTGATTGTGCCCCTTGTACTCGGCCCTGGTGAGGCCGCACCTTGAATACTGTGTTCAGTTTTGGGTCCCTCACTACAAGAAGGATGTTGAGGTGCTGGAGCGTGTCCAGAGAAGGGCAACGAGGCTGGTGAGGGGTCTGGAGAACAAGTCTTATGAGGAGCGGCTGAGGGAACTGGGGTTGTTTAGCCTGGAGAAAAGGAGGCTGAGGGGAGACCTCATCGCTCTCTACAACTACCTGAAAGGAGGCTGTAGCGAGGTGGGTGTCAGTCTCTTCTCCCAAGTAACTAGCGATAAGACGAGAGGAAATGGCCTCAAGTTGCGCCAGGGGAGGTTTAGATTGGACATGAGGAAAAATGTCTTTACTGAAAGAGTGGTTAAACATTGGAAGAGGCTGCCCAGGGGAGTGGTTGAGTCACCATCCCTGGAGGTATTTAAAAGACGAGTAGATGAGGCACTTAGGGACATGGTTTAGTGGGCTTGGTGGTGTTGGGTCGATGGTTGGACTCGAGGATCTTAGAGGTCTTTTCCAACCTCAATGATTCTATGATTCTATGATTCTGTTAAACAGGAAACTTCTCTAAGTGATTATTCAGGTGTTTTGCTGGACAGTACTCTCCGCTCCTTACAAAACTGATTATTTCCCCCTACCTGTTGAATAATCTTTGCTAACTTATTTCCTCCTTCGTTAAGTGATACTGTCTAGATACTTCTTAATACCTTCTTACTAACAGAAGGCAGATGTTATGGCCAGTAATGTATTTTCTTAAAGAAGAACTAAAAAAAATAAAACAAACCCAGATCTCCAAAAAGTACATATCCTTGACAGCAATTATTGGCATGCAAATAAACATCATTATTATGCAAATTTACTGAGATGTACTGTAATTTAGTTTATCACTAAGTTAGCAATCAATATATTCTTACAGTCCTTTCCTTAGACCAAATTAGAAGACATTAATGGATCGTTTTGTTTTTTTTTTAAAGAAAGTCCTGTGCACAATATTTTTTAGACTACTTACGGATTTTTTTTTCCCCAGAGAGCATTATTGAAAATAAGCATGGTCATATTTGTTATTACAGCGGTTTGAAAACTGCATCACTATGGGATTACTAGGAAAAAACCCTCATTTTTAAAATGTAAGCCTTCTTTCAAATATGCATTTACTTAGTAATATTTGGTCAGATGTATCAGTAATGGAGAAAGAATCTCGCTCAGAGAGAGGGAGGGAGGAGGGGAGAGAGGGCAGGCAGGGAAGAGAGAGAAAATGAATTAAGTAAGTGGCCAGCAATGCACACAACATACACTTTGGTCTGGTGCTAAAAGCAAGCCAAAAACCGCAGTGCAAGTCTGTCCTGGTACGAGACGAGAACTGGGTTTCATCAGATCAGCAATTATTCAAACCCAGGAATGGACAGCTGTTTTACAAAACAATTTGAGTTTCTGAACTGCACCCCACTGAGGCAGCATTTTTGTGTTGGATGAGCAATGGAATTTGGAGCATTCCATATCCTAAAATGTGACAAATTGTAACACAGAGGTGGAGTCAGAAGACATTGCTGTAAACAACTATATACATACTTTCTTCATGAGACTCAGATAAAGATTTAGGAAAGTTTTGACAGACCCCATAGCTGCTTTTATATGAAGTTTTCCACTTCTGTAGGAGTAGAATCTGACCAACTGTTATCTTGAGACTTGTCAAAACAGATTAGTCCATTATTCCAGGCAGGCCAGGATGAACTGAATTGCTGCACAGCTGCCTTCACCTAGTCACAGTGCTATTATTTCACAGTTGCAGAGACATCTGTTTCAAGGAGACACAGCTGATTCAGAGAGGAAGGCAGCAACGCAGGAACATTAAGCAGAAAAGATGTTGGCAGGGTTTTACTATCTCCAGGTTCTTTCCTCAAAATACGAGATCAATTCACAGTGTCAAAAAAGACTGCTGAACTAAATCGCTCCCAGAACATAAATATAAAACATAAAGGATAGGTTCCTTATGAACACAAGCTCATACCTTTAATTATTTTCTTTTTTAAAACCAAGTAAAAAACTAGACACATTTTCATAAACGACAAAGGTAATACAGCAGGCAGGAGTCACTCTGATCACATTGGGGATAACCCCTTTGTAAAATCCATGAATTCCTTCTTTCCTTTAAAGACACAGAAAAACATTTAGTTTTAATTAATGTCTTTTAATAGAAATCAGACATAAAACAAAGCCTGTTATTTTTCTTCTTGCGCTCTCACTGACAGGTACTTCAGGTTAGGAATAACAATTTCAGAATAATTTCTTACTATAGTGTTTAAAGAGCCGTAATATATCAAATCTTAACCCATCATTTTCTCTTCTGAACATACAATAGTATTCTGTAGGTCAGTTATTTAGCCTAGGGTTTGGGTGGTTTTTTGTGGGGGCTTTTTGTATTGTCTAAGCAGGAGGCAATTTACTATCTTTCTTCATGCCACAAGAACTGGTTAACTTAAAATTTCTGCAGCCTGTTCCAAAAAGCATTTACATATTTAATCTCACTGAAGCCAGCAGAGCTGAAAGGCTTGGTGGTTTTGGGTCATGTAACAGCAAGTGAGCTGAGGGTCAACATAACTAAGGAAAGTCAGCATTTACTTTTAGAGAATTAGAGCACCTCCTCCAGAATTTTGATTCCACTGGCCAATAAATGAGAATCTAACTTCTCCCAATTTGAATCACAGTATTCATGTTAGGGCTGTTAAAAAAGTTTCAAAGACTTTTATTCTCAGCTCCCTGTTTTCCAGCTTCATAGAGGCCTAGGATACCTGGAGTGATGAGTACAGTTAACACAGATCCTGGAAAGTGCTTGGGTGTGGTTTACGCTACCCTCGCTAGGGCTCTAGGTTGCATTTGTTTCATAATGAGTACAGTAGTGGCCCCAGAATGACTGTATACATTCACACTTTATCAGAACTAATAAGCCTTCCTACAGACTGCAGCACTGAAGGGCACGGTGCTGAGACATCAGAGCGATTTTCGCTTTGAATTGGCTTCAGTCAAAATGGTTGTACTGCCTCTGAGCCAGCGGTGGTCCTGAAACAACACAGCCTCATTCACTCCTTCAGGCGGCACCTCTTAATACTCCAGGACTTCGCTGACTCCATTCACGTCTCTCTAGCAATATGCTGCAACCCAGAAACATTGTCCAAAGCAAGATTAATGTTGGTTGCATACTGCAAAGGTGGCCAACCTTAGTTACCACAGAGTTCTGTGTGAAAACTCTCACATGCCCTGTGGAGCTGAGGGAAGAGGGTTTGTGAGAAGATATGCACAGGTGTGAGGTAACAGTTCTCTAAAGGTCCTACGGGAAGCTGGGACTAGACTACAAATGCAGTCAGGCCCCAGGATAACCCAGGGACAACAGTATAAACAGCTCTGGCTAGCCCACTTCCTCCTGTCAGGAATTTGGATTAGCCACAACTCCCAGCAGCACAACACTCCTGTCATATGTGATAATCTAAAGCAGCTCAAGTGAGACTTCATTGTTTAAGAGCCCCAAAACAGCCAACTCAATGTTATTTTTTAACCTGTAAGTGAAATTTGCTGAGGAAGACAGAAGTGAGACAGAATAAACAACAGAAGCCTGCAGGCTAGCATTGACCCTCTCCTATCTCCTCCTTTGTCCTCAGATTATTGCTATTAGTGGCATCTTACAAAAAATGACTTTGTACAGCTAACATTTTGTTTGCTCTGAGCTGCACTGGTTCTGCAAATCAGCATGGGAGCCAGTAAACATAGTTCTGATTCTGTAAGACTCACTTTCCAAGCTTTTAATTCTGCATGCCTACCTCCATGTCCTGCGGATCACATCGAACACACCAGAATACGTATTATGCTGATCTTGAAGACGAGCTCGCACAACTTGATAGGGATATGTTGCTGACACAGCGAATATTTTGGATACAGCTGCCATCATTATGTATTCCACAGTGTTCTAAAAGCAACAAAAATTACCAGGCTTGCCTTAAGTATGGTTTAAATTAGCCAATTTCCCAAAATCTTAAATTTGATTTTTAAATGTTGAACTAAACAATACTCTAGATTTTTCCCCCTTATAATACACACATTTAAAAAAATGGCAACATTTACTATATCCAGTGCTACAAGTAATTCTGTAAAACATGTGTTGTGCCCTCTCATTCCTATCAAGTGAAACACTTCTTCCAAAAGTAACTACCTTTGCCCAACTTGCACCTGACAGTTTTCCACATAAGTGTTTAAGACCATCACCTATGGTTCCACAAAGTAAGACAAAAAAACATTCCTCCCTCTAAAATTCTCAAAACACTTGCCAAAGTAAGAAGTTGATTTCTCTACAGAAAAACAGTGCTAACCAGTTGCTTGTTCCTAAAAAGTGAAAAAGTATTATTTCCTTCTATATATTCTACGTTCCAATTAATGTATCAATAATTTGTACATTTGGCTGTTCTAAGACCTAGACAAATGGAATAAATTTCCACTTATTCACATGCCACAACACATTTTTATTCTCAAGAATCGTACCAATTTTGTATCTGATACTCTGTTTCTGTACTTGTTGTATCTCAGTTTCAAATCCTCATATGCCATGAACTGAAGTGCTCCATGTGACGTTCCAAACAGACCAGGCACAAATCCCTAAAAAAACGAATAAAACAAGGTTAAGCAGCAATGCACAAAAACTATACAACCTGACAGAGCTCAGCTTACACACATACATATGTCCTCCATTACTTTACAAAGTGTGACTGCACAACTGTCACTGTGCAGTATGACTCAAAGCCGATTCTGGGTTGGTATTCTTAATGGCAAGCATCACACAAATGGGTAATAATGTTACTTTTCTCCAAATGACATAGAGGCTTGCTGTGGTTTAACCCGGCAGGCAGCAAAACACCACACAGCCGTTCATTAACTCCCCCCCACCCCGAGGGATGGGGGAGAGAATTGGGGAAAAAGAAGTGAAATTCGTGGGTTGAGATAAAGACAGTTTAACAGGACAGAAAAGGAAGGGAAAATAATAATAATGATGATAAAAGAATATACAAAATAAGTGATGCACAATGCAATTGCTCACCACCCACCGACTGATGCCCAGCCAGTTCCTGAGCAGCGGTCACACCCCCCCTGGCCAACTCCCCCCTCCCTCCCTTTCCAGGGACTGGCACTAAGCTGTTTAGTTCCCACCTGAGACCGGTAAGGCAATGACAGAAGCTGGCGTCTCAGTGAGGAGGGCCATCAGGAGTGGAGGTACAAAAAAGTTCTTGTGATCGAGTCCTGGAGATAGACATGTATGTGTGTGCATGTGCGTGTGTATATATAAATGTGTATCTATGATACATATACATTTCTATATCAAAAATGTGTGTGTATATATAGAATCATAGAATCATTTAGGTTGGAAAAGACCTTTAAGATCATTGAGTCCAACCGTAAATGTAACACTGCCAAGGCCACCACCAAACCATGTCCCGAAGTGCCAGCTCTACACGTCTTTTAAATACCTCCAGGGATGGTGACTCAACCACTTCCCTGGGCAGCCTGTTCCAATGCTTGACAACCCTTTCGGTGAAGAAATTTTTCCTAAGATCCAATCTAAACCTGCCCTGGCACAACTTGAGGTCGTTTCCTCTCGTCCTATCGCTTGTTACTTGGGAAAAGAGACCGACACCCACCTCGCTACAACCTCCTTTCAGGTAGTTATAGAGAGTGATAAGGTCTCCCTGAGCCTCCTCTTCTCCAGACTACAGTCCCAGTTCCCTCAGCCGCTCCTCATAGGACTTGTTCTCTAGACCCTTCACCAGCTTCGTTGCTCTTCTTTGGATGAGCTCCAGCACCTCAATGTCTTTCACACACACACACACTTGCACAGTGAAAAGTTGAAGGGCACAGATGGAAAGCTAACTCATACAAGGACTTATAGATGATTTACATTAAAGAAATATACCTAAGATTCGGATCAGTTTGAGTGCATTCCTCACCCTGCTCAGAGCACATCCCAAGACAGCCCAGCAGAGGTGACCAAAGGTGTAACAAAGCAGTCTGGGAAATGTTCCCCATTTGTAAGAGGCAGTAATGGACAGTAAGAGTGAAATATGAAAATACACAGAAACCTTTTCTTTCCAAAAAGTTGAAACGAAGGGGGAAAACAGGTATTTTCTGAAGTGTCTCTAAAAGAAAGAGAAGGCAGGAGTTCCTTCAGGATCAGGACTAGCTCAGTTGAAAATGAGCTGACAGCTGAATGGGTTCTGAGAAGCACTAATCCTCTTTTTGAAGAGTTAGTCACTTACACTGGAAAAATACAAATAAACGGGGAATTAATCATCTTGGCCAGAAATTACTTAAGGGAGCCAAAAGCTTGCTGAAAACTGTTGCAAAGGGACAATTATAATGGAGTAAGTGATCAAAATGTGGGTAAAAGGACTCAAAGAACCAAAATTTCCCAAAAAATACTGGCATTGAACAGTTTTATCTTATTTCCCATGATCCATTCAGGTAAGACAGAGGAATTAAAAGAAGTGTCCAGACACAAAACTCTGTATTAGACTAAATAGGAAGCCCAGAATGTTGAAAAAAGACTTATCAATATACGAATAAGAGCCTGGAGAAGGAGAAGAAAAAGAGAAGGGATCCTGGTAGGAGTCCACTGGAATAGTGTAACAGGACAAAATGATAAATTACTTCATAAACTCCTAAGTTGCAGGAAAAAAACCCCAAAACTAAAACAACAGCAGGCATAAAAATTGCACAGAGCTTCTACCGTTTTAGAGATTAGCTCTCCACATGCTATAGATTTCTTAAGTTTATGATATTGCAGCCATTCAGGAAGTGGTTTTTAGGATCTCTGATAAATGAGGATGAATTTCTTCTCACAGTAGAAAATAATGGTCATAAACTAATCCATCAGTGACCATGAACTGACAAAATACATTAAGGGCTAGCTAAAGTCCCAGAAAAAACACCTCCCCAAATGAGAACAAGTGGAATTAAACCAAACATCTATATTTCATCAACTGTGAGCATAATCATAGAATTTTGTGAAGTTTGAAGCCAAAGGGCCATAACAGAGGGGAAAAGACAACTTCGGTTTTCAGAAATCCTGGATCAGAAAAGAAAATTAACCAGTAATATAAAAACAGAAGAGGAGGAACAGAGAAAAACAAAATTATCGAAAATATCAAAGAAAAAATTATCTGGGTCAGCATAACAAGGAACAGTATGAAATTTATGTACAGTGATAGCAGGGAAAATTTTCACAAACATTTGCCCATGATCAGACAGTAAAACCGTTAAAAGACAGAGGAAGTTATTGCTCTCTACTTGGAAAGAATTAGAATGATGTATTTATATCATAGGAGAATGAGGTAATATTTTCCCCACCAACAAAAGAAGAATGTTAAACAACATTTGAGTGTGCTAAACTCTTAAATTTAAGCCAGCAGATTTGGATAACTTGCACCCAAGAGTCCTAAAGCATCTACCGATGACACTTGCTAAATGAGTACCAGCACTCTCTAAGTCTTGTGCTGATGGGGAAAGCTTCCAAAGACTGAAGGACTTTTAATGTTGGGCCAATATTAAAAAAATGCAAGAAGGGAGCGAGGCAACTGTCAGCCAATATGCCTCAGTAAAATAAGAGCTGACCCAGGCTTCTATTGATCATACAAAACAATGTGTTCTTATGGAAAAGGGTTTCAAAGCAAAACTGATTTCTTCACAGTAATGAAACGTCTTGGCTGAGGAAGTTTTTGAAAGATATTCCTACTCTATTTTCTTATTCTTACAATTTTACACAAAAATCTTTCTTGCAACAAAATTCGATAGAATTTTATTTATTTTTCATCTATAATATGACTGTGAAGATCAATTTTAAAATTTCACTTTATGTACTTCTTGTTATTTTTTACTTTAGTATTCAAAACATAACTTTAGAAAATTTTTGCCATGAGGGCTTGACAGGATCAATGGTTGCTCAAAGAAGTCCTGTTTGAATTCTCTTTTGGAGGATTAGAACAATAGACAGAATTAAATATATAATTAGAAATTTAAATGGTAAAGCATATAATTCTGAACAGTAGACAGCAGGAAAAAAATTGTATTTTAAAGTTGGCTTCAACAACTGTAAGTGCCAAAGATCCAGGACAAGAGAAAAATGTCCCGTTGGTTAGTGTTTCAAAGGTTGCACATCACAAGGAAAAGGAACATAGGCAAACATATGTAGTGGAAAGCCTATGCTTCTTAGTAAAGTAGGGAACAAGGTTCATTTGGTGATGTACTCACATCGCTGCCTGAAGTGTTTGAGAGCGCTCACGCCAGAGCAGCCTCTGCTATATGTTTTGAAAGAACGCAGCAGATCCCCCTTGTAATCTGGTTAGTGTTGTCTTCGTTTGGGTTCTCAGTGTGCCAAAGACCAGTAGTATCAGTGTCCTGCTCTGACAACTTGTGCAGAAAGACACTGGAAGTATGCCGTTATCTCCCTATGCATCTTGATTCCTTCATGGTGAAAAATGATCCCATCTTTTATGTGAAAGTTACTTATGCTTCTGTCTCTCTGTAGAACCTGGGACTAAAGTTAAAATCAAGATGGCCAAATCTCAGTGGATTTTGCTATATACAAGTACAAAGATGTAGAAAGTCACTTAGCTTACAAGCTTCACATTTGCAAGAAGAAGGAAAATAGCATAAGCAAATGCATAGCAAAATAAAGAGAGCTAAGTGCCTTAGACATTAATGGACTGGAAAAAATACTTTATCCTCAGAGTATAGAATCTTGCCTACCAAAGGTGAAATGACAATAGAGAAGTGTCCAATATATCTATTTCACTTGGTAACAAGCACGCATTATTGCTAGGATTTTTCTGTTGTTGTTGTTAGCATACTGTATTATTATTCTCAGTCTTGATGACTCTGTATTTTCCTTTAATGTCCTTAAATTTTCTGCACTTCCTGTTTATGTTACTGTTGTCTATTAAGCATTGCTCTATTTCTAATTGCTGCTTCTACATCATCACTAAAGAGAACGAAACTGAAAACACAAATACAGAAGCATGTAGGACAGGAAGAATGTTAGTTGCATTCTTGGTTGATGTTTTAGTAGTCAATCACTCTAAACTAGACATCTAACAGTTTCCCAAGAGCTCAGAGATACTTTAGGTTTTTCTGAAAGCGCAAACTCCTACAATCTTACGATTGTTTTACAATGTTTGGTCTCTCCTGCCTTACGCTTGGAAAGAACCATACAGCAGTCTTAACATGGAGATGGTTGCATGACATTCAACTTCATGGCAAAGTAATTTTTAGAGCTCAGATCTCCAACAGATCTATAGAATAGATCTGTTTACATAACCCCAAGCTGTTTTTTTCCTCAGCCTGGTGTGCAGCAGAGCAGCTCTGTCCCCAGTCATCGGGGGGACAGAGGCCAAAGCCTAAAGGATGGAGGGTGGGGAAGATCACTGACTAGATGATTACTGGGATAATCAGTGAAGGAAAGGCTCTTGCCTTTTCAAAACCAGGCCAAGTTCAAGAAGAACAAGTTATTGAGGAACCCAGCTTCAGATGAACTATAGTTTAATGAACAAACAATACCCAACAGAGCTAATAAAGACAGCTTTGAAAGAACTAGAAAGAGCTCTAGAAAGAGCTTTCTAGACTGCTAGAAATCAATGCATCCTGACATTACTAGTCTTGTGCCCCAAAGGACTGGAAGGAATTGCTCAGACCAGTAACAGCATCTTGTGCAATAGAGAGCAAGATATGGAATTGCTTGGACAAAAATACCATTCTTTAGAAGACTAATCTCAAATTAATCAGAAAGAAACTACTTCCAGATTTTATTTCCAACTTGTGGTGGTGTTCTCCAAGATCCCCTTATTTGCTATAAGGAACTCTATCTGAAATTAAGATTATGTGGAAAAAGAAGACGTTCGTGTGCACTACAGCTCCTGCAACTCAGGGCAATTAACAAAACTTCAGCCGTCAAATTTCAAATAAAGCAAGAAAGAGAAAAAATGAAAACTCCTCCCAAAACAGAAAATGGAAGAAGGCTAAAGTATGGACAAGTCAAAGAGCCACCTGAAGAGGTGCCTTTTTCCCCAGTATAGACAAAGTTGAGAGAATCCTGACGTCAAATGGAAGTTGCTCAGTGTGCGTAGTTATGTAGGTCACTCAGGACCTATCTAGGTCACCTTCTTTGCAGATCTAAGCAAGTAATTTGCTCTTTCAAAGGAAGTACCTGGTTTAGTTCCCCACTTGCAGATTAACACTACAAAGAAGAGTCTAATGCCAAAGGCAACACATGCTACATGCACGAATAATCTGAAAAGTAACTCAATGGAAGGACATCTTAAACCCTAACAGATGCAACAAATTAGAACTTATCTACATGGAACAGAGCAGACATCCAGGCAGGCAAATTAGAAATCCTGACAATTTCAATTTAGGAATAAATAAGGTGCCTTGTTCCTGGTGTCAGAATTTGACATTCATCAGTATGTGGCATACTAGTCTTTCAGTGTAGGAAGGATTATATTTTTCACTGCAAATAAAAGAAGTTGATGTTCAGTAATCAGGACAATTCATAAGAGATAGTTTTCTTGTTCTATAGCATTACTTGCAGGAGAAGAGCCAGACTGAACTAAAATAGGTTTCTTCACACCTTCCAGGCACTGATGAATGCATCTTGATGTCATGGCCTGAAGGAAGGAGGAGGCAAGAAGTCCAAATGCAGTTGCCATCTGTTTCCCTAAATTAAAGGGAATAAAAAACCCACACATACGCAGACCATATTTAGAAGTCTGCAAATTTTATGGATCTAGAGATGACAGATTACAGACCTCAATAACTAGAGGGCAAATGAGCAGTTGTGAAACCGTCCATTGTGGAAGAAAAAATTAGCAACTACTTTAGTCATATGTTATGTTCCACAAGATGTCAGAAAGACGGAGATAAGGGATGAAATGGAAGAAAGCACTAGCAGCAAGATAGATTACACTGTTGCTGCCCTCATCCAAATTCTAGTTCTAATGGCTGTGTGGTGTTTAGCTGCCTGCCGCGTTAAACCACAACATAGGAAGACTCCAAAAATTAAAAAGCAGCTTGTAGTTTACTCTCATTTCAGCATTATCACCCAATAGAAGATGGCTTAGCCATAAAGCTTACACTCTATTCTTCAGTGGTTTCCTACGTTTCAACAGTGTAATAGCTTTTCTTCTGATTAAGCCTTTTCGCTGCAGTTCTTCAGTGGGAAGGAAGACTCACAGAATAAAAGTAAGTGAGCTAATACAAAAATTGACATGCATTTTTTTTTTGTAGACGAGTATTTAAAAGTCTCACCATGCTACTGAGTGGTGCCAGCCAATCCTGGAATTTTTCTTAGCTTTTATTACCTTATATAAGCCACGTATGCCCTCCATCTTGTATATCTTTATAAGAGCATCAAACATTCCTCTGTACTGCCGCTTTGATGGGTCAACACCAGCGTTATATTGTAGCACAAGTCGTGTCTTCGTTACCCATATTGGGTTTGTAATAGAGAGCGTCATGGCTCCTGAGAACAGATGGAAGTTAGACTTGATTGTTATGCCAACTCCAATGCTTGTCCCAGTTTGTTCAGTCCAGTGTAACACAGGCTTCTACAATGACAAAACTACTTATCCTACAAGAGTACTCATATTATATAAACAGGCAAAGTTTATGCCCACCATTGTTCCCTCTCTCTGCCTTCAATGCTCACAATCAAGTCCAGCCTACTGCTGCTGGGGGTACTTCTGTAGAGCATATGGCTTTTTGCATATTCCTAGTACATCCCTTTTTTGCCTCACCTTTCCACAGTCAGTACTGTAATCTGTAGTAGACAGGAAACATAAGTAATTTCTTAATGTACTCCCAATTATCCAAGTATTCTTTGGGTATACAATTCTTCAAAATTTAACGGACACCTCAGTCATGAGAAATTTGCTTCATTGTATTGACAGGTTAATAGAAGCAGCCCATTACAGCTTTATAGGTTCTTGAAAATACAGTTGTAAAATAACCCATTACTGTTTCTCACATCAAACAATATGCCTTACATTTCAACATTAAATGAATGCTCCAATATCCTAATAAAAAGTCTTCTCAATTGCCTAGATTAAATACAACACAGAAGCATGTAGAAGAACATATGTTAGAAACAACATATTAAAAGTCTTGCTGATAGAAGTTGTATTTTTATTTCAGATCTTTAGTTTCTAAGAAAAACTTGGACCATAGATAAAGATTTTCAAAGACCAATGACCAATTCACTTATTCTATTAACTTCAGTAGGCCTTCTCTTTTCCGGGTCTAAGTGTTAAACATTTAACGAGTTAACAAGCTGATAGCAGCAGATTTATATAGTTATATTTTGGGACACAATATAGTACTAAATATGGAAAACGCTTATACACAATGAAAACAAGGTCAAAAGGTATTTTGACAACTGCTATTTCTGAGCAAAACTGAAAAGACCACAGTGATCCATCCATTCACCTTAGACATCATTAATTTATTTACAGACCATAAATGATTGCATTTGGACTCGAACACTTACACTTGCCACCTGTAAGAGAAAGCAGCGCTGACACACAAAGGCAGGGAGCAACATATGGAAAGGCTAGAAGCGAACATTAATCTTTGCGTTTAAACTCACCAGCCTCTGCAGCTGACACTAGGTGTTCGGTTGCACTGAGACTTTCCAGCTTCCCTTCCTTCTTGTAAGCTTTGATGGCATTGTAACTGGAAAATGTAAAATGTATTTTGGTAAAGGTGAAAACAAACCTGTATCACTGAAAAAAACACCCCAAAACAACAAAACACCTCACTTAAGATCATGGAAAACATGGTGGTACACAGCCTTTGAAAACAGGTATCTAAGCTTTGTTTAGTCGATTAATTGATCCCTGAGAAGTTAGCTCTTTAAAGTGAACTATGGTAATACATATTTAAATTGATAAAGTATTACTGTCAGTATCAATGGGACTGCATCCTGAAACAGCTCGGATCTCAAAAATTAACTTCTAAAAGAAACCGATTAGATAGCCTCCTTTTTATTGAGAGCAACAGTGACAGGTATGTATCTTCTAGCTCAGAAATACACTGAGCTTTCTTCTCTTGATCCAGTTTCCAGTCTTTGTGGATCGAGAAACTGTCAACAGGAGCTGAACTGTCAATAGGAACTGAACCGTCAATAGGAACCTATATCAAAGCTTGAGGACTGAAGTACCACAATAACAGAGTCCAGACAACTGACAAGTGAGGTTTGCATAGGCATACCAACGAACTATTCCCTCAAGTGTTTCAATTAATAGGGATCAGCGGTAAATGAGGTCACAGTTACATAGTTAATAAAGTAGAAAAGATTGAGTATTAAAAAACAGGCTGTATAAGCAAAGCCCATCAACTCACAAAAATGAAAGAACCGACTGTCACTAAAATTATTAAAAAACAGTTAAACATTTAGCTTTAGTAGAAAACTTTATCATGTTCTCCAATTCTTAACACATCAGTTTAGGTTTTTATTTGTCGTGAGGTTTTAAGCACAGTGTATTGGCACTTTTAGAGGATTCTTCATGAATGATGTCACCATCTCTCAAGTTCCTTAGTATTTTCACAGCATCAAGGGAATGCACTGTACTCGACAAAGTAACAGGTCTCTGACTCGGATGGCTTAAATTCTAAACCAGCAAACCGTAATAAAGGGTAACAGACCTGGACTTACTAAAAAAATCACAAGTTTATAAGGCACTTCGCACATTTTTATACCCCCCAAAGAAGATGCAGTGTGTATCTGAACATTACATTGCACAGGATATGACACATTTTACAGTTCTACTTACAAGAAGAAGTAAAGTCCCCAGGAAGCCCCTGCTCCCAACATGTTTGGAGTTACCCCTTGATATAAGCCTCGTAGTCCTTCATGCTTCCAGACAGTGGTCATGCAGTGGAGAATCCCATTGTACTTTGGCCTCAGCTCCAATCCATCGCTTACTATGAAAGAAAGAAATTATACTGAAAAACATTTCAGGAAGCATGAAGTTCAGCTGTGTAAAAGCCACCACAGAAGTACACAGCCTCCAAAGCAAGTTGCAAATGAACATGAAACCTAACTGATCAGCTGTATTTTAAAAGTATTCTTATAAAAGTATGCAAAAGAGTTGGGGTTTACAGCTTCATAAGTCTAGAGTCAAAGAACTTAAAAAGAAAAAAGGAAAAAGAAACAAAAAGAAGGAAAAGAACTTTTAAGCTCTGCAAGAGGAAAGTTCCCATCAATCTGAAAAGGCTAAATAAATGCACTGCTGTGCATTTTTGGTGAGCAGTGGCTTTGAATTGAAGTTTTTTGTCTCCTCTTTTTAGCGCCCCAGCAATTTTGCATCATATTTCAAGTGATACGTGTGGGGTCTTTGACAACACGTTTCTATAAGGAGTTTAGACAAGCCCCAAATAACAACTCTTAAATTCAATCTTCCTCTTCAAAATGTTCTATAAAGATCTGGGGTCACGTCTTCCAGCTTCCAAAGTCAGTTTTTACCAGAACACTCAAAGGTTATTTCCATCAAAAATTCCTGTGTTCTCCCTTCTATTCTCATTGAATGGATTTGCAGGAAAACACCAAATGCATACGCTTCTCCCACCCAATAACCAAACAGCTGGTTGTCCAAATGTTCAGAAAATATCACTGTCAAAAAGATAAAAAACATGCCAGTTTTTGTTTGACAGATTTCATTTAGAACACAGATGTTCACACAACTTACAGTGGTAACTACTATTGCTCCTACCGTAAGAGCAAGAGAGTAAGTTGATTACTGATGACACGCGTGGTACGGCGCATGGTGAGATGACAAGAGGTAACGGACACAAGCTGGAACAGAGGGAATTCTGACCAGAACTTTTTCTCCATCAGAGTGGTCAAATACCGGAACAAGTTGCCTGAGGAGGCATCATTGGAGCTCCTCAAAACTCTAGCAGGCAAGACTGAGCAATCCGATCAAGCAGACCTTATCTGAGCAGGGGGTGAAGTCCATAGATCTCTTCTGACCTAAGTTACTCCACGATGCCAACATAACAGCAGCTTTCATTCTTAATATAGACATAAGGCTAGATTGCAATTTTACTGAAAAATAATCTCAAAGTTTTACAGTCAGCGTAGTTTTTGTGTCCCCATCAAGATTAAACCTGGTAATCATGAATTTCATATGTTTTCATGTTTTCTGTTCAGTGCCACATTTATTATTCATTCTCCTTTGAACTTTGTGTACAGTACTGTATGTTGCGACAGACTTCAGGACTAAAGACAAAATGCTTTTTCTGAGGATCTTGTGACAAGGCCCCAACACCTTGACAATCACTCAAAACTAGGACACAAATTGAATTAAAACTACAACACAAATTAAATGCCTCTTTTCTCCCTCCTGAATGAGCACTGCTAGACCTTTCCCAAAGACCTTTCTGAATTTTTTTACCATGCTGCCATTCGATCAGGTTTATAAACACATTAACCAACGTGGGAAGTCAGACATGAATGCAAGTCTGTCTGTCAATGATGCTGCCGAGAATCTTCACAACATTCATTTCTGATATCAGCTCTTACTTCCTGGTTGAAGACAAAACATAGGAATCGTTGTTTTCAACCCAAACAAGCATGTGAAAGTAACTGACCTCCAGAGGTCACCTAATCCAATTCCCTGCTCAAAACAGATCTAATTACGTCAGGTTACTCAGGGACATGTCCAGTCGGTTCCTGAATGTTTCCAAGGCTGAAGAGATTACAGCCTCGGTGGGTAACCTCTTCCAGTATTTGACCACTCTCACAGTAAAAATCCTTTTTCCTAATAAATAACTGGAAATTTTCCATGTTCCTGCTTGTGCCTGTTTTCCTCTTGCCCTACAACTATTCACCTCCAAGAAGAATCTGGCTTCACCTTCTCTGTGTCCTCCAATCACGCAGTCATAGGCTGCAGTAATATCTCCCCTCAGCCTTCTCTCCGTGAGGCTGAACCGATCCTGTTCTGTCAGCCTGTCCTCCTACGTCCTGTGCTCCAGCCCCTTCACCAGTCTGGTGGCCTCCACTGGAATCACGTCAGTATGTCAGTGTCTTCCTTCTACCGGTGGGCCCCAAACCAGACACGGTACTTGTGTGTCTAGTTTAAGACTACGTCTAAGACACAGACGTAGTCTTACAAGTGCAAAATAGAGAGAAAGGAGCACTTCTGCTAGCTACGCTCTTCATAATACAGCCTAGGATGTGCCCACACTAGGATATGCAAGAAAGTGTTTAAATCCAACTTTGCAAGAAGTCTGTTCAGAAATGTAATGCCTTAAATTTTGTAAAACTTCTCTGTGATAGTTCACTATTTGTTTTTGAGATCTTAAACACCCCCGCATCCATTTAAGATAACAATCCAAAGATACAGCAAAATGTTTCAACCTCTATAAAAGAGAATATGATAAAAGGGCAACGTGTTTCTCATATTAACAGCAAAATTGGTAGGGAGAAGCTGACATGTTTCCCTGTGGAAAAACAAACAAGTTAGTTTTCTGCAAAACAATAGCACTACTGCTAACAACCAAGATTATTACAAAACAATTGTTACGCTTTGAGTGTTGAAAATCTTTGGCATAAAGGTGAACTTTGAACGTTGGCTTGAGACCATCCGCCTGTTAAAAACAGACAATCTTGCTGTGTCCCATGGCACTGGTGGTCGTGAGAGAGAGGGAAAAGCCTGGCCAGCTCTCTAATCTGCCTGAAAACAGCCTGAGGCACGCAGCACGTTTTATAGTCCCTAGAAATGACAAGAAGATTAAGCTTTGGGATAGGGGGGGAAGAACCGGAGGCCGTCCCTTTCGGCCTACGGCCCGTTTATTCCGAGCCGTGGGGCTACCCTGCCAGCGCCTGCTGTCACGTAGCCGCACGCAGGCTCGGGCAAAAATGCGCAGGCTCGTTTGGCTGTATTCTCCCTCAAAAAAAAGGCGGTAGGTCACTGGCTTGCAAACGGCGAGCTCAGCGAGACTGGCACGCTTTTAGCACAAAGGACGGTTTCTCTTCGCAGCCCTCAGCGGCAACCTCTGGGGGGAGCCGGGCTCGGGGGCTTTCCCTGGCGGCACAC